TAAGATTAATTTGTATCTGTATCTAATTTAGAAATATTTTTTAAGTATATTTAATCAACTTTAATTATCTGATTAAAAGGTATGTTAAGTTTTAAATTCCTATGTATGGAAATATAAYGTTTACTATAGAAGATATTAAAAAACATGGGTTTGTTTCGACCTCAATGTAACTAACATTTAATAGGTCGGTATATTTAAGTTACAGTCAGATTCTAATGAGAAAAACATTTTATTTGAGAGGTCATATATTGAACATCCATTGTACTTGAGTGAAAATTGTATAATTTTATTTTAACTACCTAGGTTTTAACTAGGTACTCGTTATTATAATTTACTAATTTGTTAGATAGTTCAATCATAAAGATAAATTAAACATATATTCGTAGGTCATAACTATTTTTTGTTTATAAAATATTATGACCTTACGTCCTTCTTCGTGTATTTTTTTTTTCATTAAAATTTTCAACGATTGTAGGTAATAGAAAAAACTTTTTGATAGACCAAGATAGTATAATAATTTATAATATATATACCTAATTATTTAAGGAGTATAAATTGAAAAAACACGTRATTTTTAAAATTATTAAATAAACAAAGGAAAATTAATATTTAATAAGACAAGTTAGATAATTGAAATYCGTGCTAGAGTTAATRTATTTTCAACTATAAAAATGGCTACGATGCGATGGACAGATGTGCGGTTTTACACAYAGACATTTTTTACCTATAARTTACTATAATTGCATTACCTTTATCAATAATTATAATATAACTACTTTGATAACGATATGCRTAAATAATATCTTATAATTATAATGTAGCTCCAAAAAATATAAAATTCCAATGGTGATTCAATGGAATWTTAATTTTAAAATTACTTGATCGATTGCACAATCATCGATTTATTTTCTAAACTTAAGTACTTCATTATTCATGTATAAAATGTTCAGGTCACTTTTTAGTGAAGCAAAGTATATTTACAAGCGTTTCAAATTGCACCTATAGCCATGTATAGTGCAGTCTACATATAATGTGATATAATATATACTATTGAGCACACACTAGATCCAATTAAAAAAATTAGAAGCCCTTTTTTACGAAAAWAATAAAAWAAATAAATGTAGCTAATGACGATGGTTCCTTGTTTAAATTAATTTMTATTTAAGTATGTAACTATAATTGCAACAATAGGTTGATTTCCGTAAAATTCGTGTTTGTAGAACCTGTTTGCATATGATTGTATGCGGATTAGGTACTACTATAATTTTTTGCATACGTCGACATTGTATTTCCTATAAAATTGAAATGAGTAAAATGTAAATTATAATTAAAATGTCGTATAAATTATGCATCATACGTAAGAATTGTGTGTTTTTTAAAAGTATCAATATAATTAGTTAATTCAATATTTAAAAAAAAATGGTTCAGGTAGTAGTACTTCTACTTCAGCATGTTTTAATATATAACACGCGTGTTACCACTGAGCTAGTGGGCTATCTCCCAATATTTAAGTAATCCACTGTCGTACATTATTTTGTATCACCCTTATTATTGTCTACTTTGTTGTACATTGTATAGATCATAGATTTCGTTGAAAAAAAAATAAAAAAATTCAATAGGCGTACTTCTGAATGCGTACTGCATCATTGAAGATTATATTTGATATATATATATATATATGTATATTACATATAAAGCTGATTAATTGTATTGATATATTATGTTGTTATTGTATCTGCTAAGTGCTTTGAGTTTTGGTATATGAACTCTAAACGATTACAATGCCATTAAATAATGTCGAGAAAAAATTAAACAGTCAAGGGTAAATCCCCCGAAATTTATTCCAATACCCGTGGTTTGAAGTTCTAGTGCCCAACAATGT